CCGGACCACTTGGGTCCGAGTGGACAGGAAAACCAGCATCCAGTCACTTTGGATTTGGACATTTTCCATTTTGCGAGTCCATGAGCCGGTGAATGTGGGAATGTGTGACCGTTTGGATGAAGCCTTTACAGTCTGAAGGAATCTCGCTGCAGAAACTGTAACTCGTCTTCGTAGTTGGACAGCTGATGCTGAACATCAGCGTGTTTACACAACAGATCACTGCTTCGTCTGTGCATTTGCGGTTCTATATTTAGTTTCCTTAGTTTCCTCTTATTGTCACAGTGGATTGTAGGTGGTGTTTCAGAGCTTTTCTCGCCAGCCTACCTGCTTTCACGCCCCAGCACAGCTAAGAAGGACTTTCCTCATCTTTTAGCTAGACAGCAATAGCTTTAATGGGTTTCTCCCATCTTTCATGCTCCAAATCCATATAGCTTAAGCTTTGAATCATACTGCAGGAATAATCCAGGAACTGTGGATCAGGCTTACTGCAGATACCAATATGATCAGGAGCATAATATGTCTAAAAAAAGGCACAATTTAATTTGGTTTTGAAAGACTGAACAGGTCATGCTGTGGAGAAAGCTATCGGAACAACTTATCCGTTTAATATACCCACACAGAACATCTTGTATTTTTAGTTAAATCCACAGCCAGGTGGTTTTGTTGTACTTTGAAGGGTTAATTTAGCCTAAAACATACATAAACATAGCTGCTCATGCCCACATATTGCACATATCTTGATTTCTGTTTGGCAGCACCTGCACATCATCCTGATTTGGCTCATGCAGCACAAGCTGGCTGCTAACTGACTTATTTTAAATCCCAAACTCTGACTCAACATTAACCACTGTAAATAGCTGGCATTATTTTGAGTGCAGCGTTCCTAAAAATAATCTTTGCAGCCTTAGAAGTGGAAAGGCTAAATGCTAAGCCACAGAGTAACATTAGCACAGGCAGAGGAGAGTTATAAAACACGCTGACTCAGTCATATCAGTTACAAAATGGTCAAAAATTTGCTCTGGGCCCCATGAGATACCCGCCAAGTCAGGCTGTAGCTGCAGAACCGCTCAGTTCAGTAAACTGAGGGTGGGAGTTTTTATTACTTATAAATTCAGCTGTTTGTGCAATAAATCATCTGGCATTTTGTCCTTCAAAGGTTATATATGGATGCTTTAAGGGTCACATCCTGATTTTAAATGTTTCGTCTTCCACGTGGACGACTTGATTGAAGGTGCCAGTGCTGATACTGTGGAGGAGGGTTCTGTTGGATTTCATGCAGGGGCATCAACAAAACACTGTCAACATTAAAGTGGAGGATAAGGATGATGCATTAAGTCCTTGGTTCGCCGGCTGTCGTTAGTTTTCAGTTATGATGCTGTAAGTGAGTTCCTGTGACATTCTTTTTTGCAAATATTGAGTCATTAAGTCAGCTTGCAAAATGTATTGTTAAAGCCTTCATTTGTCCTTGTATCCTCACAACCTGAACACACCTGCCTATAAGAGTCAGCCTCTCGTATGGCATCAGGTCCACATGCAGCATTAAGCCATTAATTCAAACCTTTTAAATGTGTTAATGCTCCTACTTCATGCCTCGGCATCCTCTTAGGATATTATATTTCTAGCTGCTTGATCACTACATGCATGTGCATGTTGTGTACATGTAGCAGCATGACTTTGGTCGAGGTTATTGCCAGCATGTTGATGGAAGGCTCAGTAATGCACAGCCATGCATGTCCTTTGATCGGCCGACTGAACCATGCACATGCATCAAAGAGCAGGAAAACACTTGACTGGAAAATGACACCATTAACACTTCTTAGCTAATTATCTCTGTTAATACCCCTCCAGCTGTGTGTCTGTCAATGACAGTGAAGAGGGGGATTAATGTTTGCCACAAAAAATGTAGAAATGTTGAATTGTTCCACAGGCATTAACTGTGCAGCTTCTTTTTATAAATTGCCAATATTATGAAGTGGGATAGTGGTAAACAAAAGAACGTCAGTAACTGAATTGCAGATTAAATGCAGCGCTGCTTCTCAAAGTCAAAGAATAAACAATACGTTGTTGGCAGTTTGCTCATCGTTTGGTGTTGTTAATTCAGTCGTGTTTGCTTTTTACTTAATTGACTGTCAGTGGCACTTCTAATGTTTCGTAAAAACACAACACTTTGCTTCGTCCTTCAAGGTTTCCTGGAAAGAACGGTGAGATTTGCTACTAGTTATTGAAAAATCGTAGTATTCTGAAATGAAAAGAGCCCCACTCCAACCCAAACAATCCATGTGTTATGGAAACGTTCCCTGTATCTGTATGTTGAGCTTTATGTCTGTCCAGTACACCTTGTAGATGGTAAATGGTCTGCTGCACTTATAAAGCGCTTTTCTACCTTAGCGACACTCAAAGCGCTTTACAGTGTGTTTCTCATTCACCCATTCACACACCAGTGGTGACAGAGCTGCCATGCAAGCTGCTGCTGCCATCGGGAGCAACTTCAGGTTCAGTATCTTGCCCAAGGACACTTCGGCTGTGGAGGGACAGGGGATTAAACCGATTGGAGGACAACCGGCTCTACCAGCTGAACCACAGCCGCCCTTGTACTGACTGTATCTTTGTGCACGCTGACAACAACGATGGCGTCTTCTACTGCGACGACCTGGACGAAGCCGCCAAAATGGTTGTTAAGCTTTCTGAAATCGTCTCTCTGGCAAAGGAAGCCCAGGTGGACATCACCTTCCAGCTGCCCATCTAAGAAACCCAAGCACCTCCACCTGCCCCCTCAGACACCCACAAATCCACTCCCAAGACCAGGCAGCAGGACGGACCTCCCTGTTTAGTTTCCATAAAGATCTATTGTTGACCATTGATGCCCAGAACTTTAAAAATCACACCAATGAGACCTTATGTGTCTTCATTTCAGTGATCATTTTGAGTCAATATCAGAGCTCCAAATGTCTGTTAATCCACAGCTACATAAATAATCCCCAACTAATCACTATTTACTCCCGTGTGGATAACGTTAACCACGGTGCTGTGCTGTCTATGAGTCTTTTTGAGAGACTTAACCAGATGTTTCTGACCCACTTTTCAATGTCTTTGCTGGATCCCAGTGGACTGGAACTGAGAGAAGGACTCAGAAGTCCCTCCTGGTTCTGTCCTTTTTGTGGGATTTGTAAGTAAACAATATAGAATGAACTGTGCAGTTTAGATGCTCCTGGTAACTGAGGTGGGCCTCGTTGCCATGTAGAAGCCTGATGTGGATGTCAGGAGGAGCCGACTGAGAGCGTTGGACTGGTGGTGCCTGCTTGAAGTGGATCCAGTGTTAGATGGAGGCATGAATACTCGAATACACTCTAATACTATCTGACTCATCTCCTTATAGTTTTTCCCAGATATTTTGCTCTTTGATAGCTTAAAACGTGCACAGGCAAACCCCAGCATGGTGATATTCATCTCAAGTGTCTTTACAGAGTTTTGTTGTTGTTGTTGTTGTTGTTTACAAACAGGCAGGTTGTACATTAGAGGTCTTTGCAGAGAATACATGACACACAAACAGACAAAAAAAAAGAAATGCAAGTGATTAAACAGTTCTAGACACATGTAAATATGAATCATTAGTTCAATATTGAATCCAGGAGGACGGACGTCCAGCGCACTGGAGGTAATGGTTTTCAAACTGGTCAGGAAGGGATTAAAATGATGAAGTCTGCAGGATGTCTAAAGCAAAGACGCTTCCCTCTGCAGCTTTAACCATGGACATACTGATACATATTGAGAGACCAAGCTAATGAGGAGCATGTTGGTAGCTAAGCTTAGGATTACGTATCGATGGACTACGAGATGCAGCTCATCGATGGACCTGCGGAGTCAATGCAGACGCTCACAAGGACAAAGCTAAACCTAACCCTGCTGTGAATGTGGGCTTGGAGCAGCCAGAGCAGCCAATTCCCAGAATAAGTTTCGACTAATCTACAACAAGCGTGTTGCTGTAATCCAGACCTCCATAACACAATTTACTTCAGATGTAATTTCAGTGCATCCAGCTGTCATTCCCAGCGTTTAGTACGGATTCCTTCCTCCCTGTGCTCTGGTGTCGTCATTTCAGGTTGTTGCATAGCCTCTGCTCACACTTGTGTGTAATCAGTTTGTAGTTACACAGTGGAGATGTCTGCATGTGGTTCTGTAGAACGCTGATGAAGGGCAGTATTCTTAGTGACATGTCATGAAAGCAGTGAAACCAAAGCGCGTGGCTGTGCAGCAACACAGATCCTGATGCACTGATAAACTGCAGCAACACTGGTCATAACAGTCATCCCATGGCAGCCGGGTATCCAAGTGTTTGTGCTAATGCCCCACGTAGCAGGTTCCTGGTTTGAATCCGGGCCAGCTGGACCATTAGCTGCATGTCAGTCCTCTCCTCGTCTCTCTCCACTATCCATGTCTGCAAAGGCACGAAAAGATTTAAAACCAAGCAACGCCAAAACATCCATCCATCATCTCTACACCTTAATCCTCACCAGGGTCATGGGGGGCTGGAGCCTATCCCAGCTGACTCAGGGTGAAGGCAGGTTCACCTGGACAGGTAACCAGTCTATCACAGGGCTACACTTAGAGACAGACAACCAAGCACACAAAACCAAAACAGTCACCTCATATTTCTTTGGGGTCCTTCACTGTTCTCCTCATCGTTTGTTTCAGGCGTGTTCGGCTGTCAGCAACATCGCCCACCTGGAGATGGACCTTCAGCGTGAAGAAGCAGCGTCGCCTTCCATGCAGGATGAAGGAGACCAGCTTCAGGAGCTGCCCTTCACTCCCGTCCACGCTCCTGTCATTACTCTGGGGATGAATGTGCCCAGGTAAGCCTGTGTGAGACGTGAGCAATGATCTGCCCCAGAAAAAAGGGAGTTTTTTAAGCCACCCTGACAGCTCTTGGTGTCATCAATGAATGAAATCAGGTTATAAATCTGAGTGACAGTATCTACAGGTAGTGACCAGAGAAGGAAGTGATGGCGTTTGTTTTTGGTAGATTGTGTTTTTATTTAGAGAGCAGCACAGCTCGGCCTTCATAAAACATGTCGATCGTTATTTCCCTCGTTCTCTCCTCAGCCTCTGATTCATCATTACTCATGTAAATGTTTGTTGTTTGCGCAAGTCTTAAATCAGTATTTGAGACCGCTTTGCTTTCTGCAGCCCAAAGCTCTCTGTGGTTATCTGCGAGGTGGATACGGACGTCGTCGTCAGCTGTAGAACATGAACGGCAATAACGGGCCCAGCTGTTATTGTGAAACGGGAAGCGGCGATAGATCCTCACGATGCGTCGCCTCGAAAACTCATCATCGGAATATTCACTCGAGTGGGATTGAACTTGTGTTCCACATGTAGTGTAACACACGTGCTCTGCTCGGTGGACTGTTTGTCATTAGCACCTCGCTACAGCTTCCTCTTCTGTCTGTTCAGGACGGTGACGTGTTGCTCATGTTTGACAGGAGACAGCATTGAGAGAAGGCACTTTAAACATTCCATTACCGTTTTATCTCGCCTGTTATCTCATGTGAACACAAGTACAGTCCTTTATTAGCGCGACGCTTCACTGTCTCGCTATCTACAGAGGGATATCGATCGGCTCTCTAATTGGCAGCATGTGTGAACTGGGTCCTAGAACACTGCTACCAGTTAGTGGGAGAGTTCAGCTCAGAGCCAATTTAAAGGAATTGGTTTGTCAGGCTTTGCGTCCCACTTTGGGTAATGGTCTCAGCATTGTTTGTGGGTGTAAAAATTCATTATTGGATCCAACTGTAAGGGGGGAGGTTTTGACTTTGATTTAGTGAGAGCAGAATCCAATGAACTGAGCTCACAATTTACAATCATAATGTCAGAGGAAACACAGCCAGGTTTGTCGAGATAGGACACCAAATGAGAAAACACATTCAGAAAAATAATGGGCAAAGTCACTTAGAAACCAGGCACTGTAATAATACAGAGAGTGTGTAAATAAGCAGCTGGCACCGAAGCAGCTTCCCGGTCCTGGAGTCTGGATCCAGACACGATGCTGCTGTTCAGTTCAGTGGGCTGAAACATCTCTGCCTCTCCACTCGGAGCCAAAACATCTTTCTGACTGTTTTCAGAGTGGAATGACCCACTTCTCTGAGAAGAACAATGAAGTCTAAAGAAGTTTAATTGAAGTTGCTGTGCATATCTGATCGAGCTCCTTCTGAAATAAAAATGATGGCTTGAATATTAATCTACTGGGGCTAAATTAAGACACAACTCTGAGCAACGGGGAAGAGAGGGAGCGCGTGAAATTGACACAGCTGCACAGAGGAAACCCAATCGACTGCCTTCTTCTCTGTGGCTGCCTTAATTAGCTTGATCACGGCTTCATTTGGTCACAAATGTGACACTGTGGACTCAACCAAATGGACGCAGGCGGCGCCGGTGCCGCGATCAGACCAAACGTTATCGTTCATTTTCCTGCGCCTGCACTCCAGCCAGCCATCTGTGCGCCGTGTTTATCACGGAGCGTTTGGTGTCAGCGTTTAAAGTATAAGTTATGAATGTTACCATAGTTGCGGGAAAACAGGTGGCCACTATGATTAGAGATAACTGCCAATTATGCCGGAAAATCCTCAGGGAGCGCTTCGGCACCGCTGTAAGCATTGTGGTGCTGCTGCAGCTTGATGGATGCCGCTGACATCCTCATGCCGGCTGATCATTGTTTCGTTAAGTTCAGCCAGATATTTACTTTCAGGTTCAGTTTAACAGGATGAAGTGGCTGAATTGAAGTTGTCTCCCAGAGGATAGGCATCCTGACTCAGAATGGACCGGATCCGACATAAACACAAATAATAAAGCAGCATTGTAGTCCACACAGAGCGGTTCTGTCCCATTTACAACCACAAATCACCTGAGTGAGGCCAGCGCTGCTCGTAAAGCATCCAGAGGGCACCGGTCTTTTCAGCTCGGTGAGGAATTGATGGCACACGTCTGAAAGCTTGTTTTTTGTGACCCTGTCTCCAGTTCCTGCTCTGTCAGCTCCAGAAGCTCACAGGCTCACCTCTTTTCTGCTGGTTTCCCCGACATCGTGGATGGCAGCGGGCAGGTGGCAGAGGTCCTGGACCCAACAGAACCGCTGCCGTTTGATCCTCAGAGGGAAGAGGCTGACCTTCTACAAGGAAACCTGCTGGTGTTCCAGTTCCTGGCATTTACCAGGTGAGGTGTGCGTCCCATGTGGCTGCATTGTGCTTATTGAGTGGTGGCAGCAGCTTGTGTACTGCACACTGTACCTGCTGTTGTCTTAAAGATCGCTACATATTTGGCCTACAAACTGTAATAGGCTGTGATAGAAGTGTGATTATACACTCCTGAAGCATTGCTGCAGTGTAATTATTTGTGCTTCCAGAAATGTCAGGACTGTTGTGCTGTCAGTGAGACAGAGCAGTCATTGATTTGACAGCAGCTTATCTGTCTGCACACCGAGCCACTGGGCCTTTATCTGCACACAGCAACAGATACATTCTTTAGGTGTTTTTGGTTGGCGGCCAAGGACAGCATCCCCCCGCTCTGAGAGTTCTCCCCGTTTGTCTGGATCTGCAGCCAAGAATTAAACGCACATAAAGCAGGCATGAAGGTGCGCCGGTCGCCCTCTGCACATGTCAAGGACATACCCAGCATGCACACGAACACTCACAATTACACAAAAACACATTTTCCAGCAGCATGGGCGGAACAGTACCTCTGTCAGCGTCCCATCACAGAAGCCCCTGGAGCAGGCGTCCCCTCTGACAGGGCCTGACGTGGAGGGGAGCTGCTGAAGGATCGCTGCAGAACACACCACTCTTTGTGTCCTTCTATCTTGTCATCGGCGCTGTCAGCAGTGCTTACATTTGTCTTGTTCATCATGGACTCCCCATCATGGCGCCATGACCTCCTGTGTGCTAACCGTACTGCTCTGCCATTTGTCACTGTTCACATACATTCAACATAGAACAGTCTATGTGTGAACACATAGATCTGCTCTCAGTTGTTTTTTTATTTTTATTTTTGTATTTAACCTTTATTTAACCAGGAAAAGGCTCATTGAGATTAAAAATCTCTTGTCCTGGCCGAGACAGGCAGCATCACGACAGACAGACAGACGAGGTCACAGCAGCATCACACAGACATCATAACACACAGTGACATTACATTTAGAAGATAAGAAATCAACACATCAGTACAGATCAGAAGCATAACTAGCAAACACCTACAGGCTGATGTTTCTGCCTCCAAGTCATTTAAAAACACTTTAAATGTGTTTAAAGAGAGCAGCTCCTGAAGTTTCAGGTCTTTTTCTGAAGTGTTCCAGGTGGAGGGAGCAGCCACTTTAAACGCTTTCTGTCCCCGTTCGGTTCGGTTCGGTTCGGTTCCTGTTCCTGGGACCGCAGACTGGAACCACGAGGAGCTTTTGAACAAATAAAAACCTGTAAATAATGAGGAAGCAAGCCTAAAATTCATTTATACATTAAAATATGTCGGTGTTTTTTCCTCCGTGTGGTCAAATCTGACCATCTGACGTGAGAGCACAACAAACAATGATGAGTAGAAGAATTAAAATTGGTGATAAACCTTAAAGCGCTGTGATACACTGGAATTAATTAATGTGTTGTAGTTAATTCTTGTAACAGATGGAGAAATGACAGCAGGGTCACAGCACTGATTGGAAACTGGGCTGTGTTTATTTCCATCCATCATCTCTACACCTTGATCCTCATTAGGGTCATGGGGGGCGGAGCCTATCCCAGCTGACTCAGGGTGAAGGCAGGTTCACCTGGACAGGTAACCAGTCTATCACAGGGCTACACTTAGAGACAGACAACCAAGCACACTCACATTCACACCTACGGACAATTTACAATCACCAATGAACCTCAGCATGTTTGTGGACTGTGGGAGGAAGCCGGAGAACCCGGAGAGAACCCACGCTGCACGGGGAGAACATGGAGACTCCACGCAGAAAGATCCCGGGTGTCCTCACCGGGACGCCAACCGACGACCTTCTAGCTGTGAGGCGACGATGCTAACCACTGAGACACCTTGCAGCTGTGTTTATTTGATATTCCAATGATTCCATGTAATCATGTAGCACAGCTGCAGACTCAGCCTCTGAGGAAAAAAAAACAACAACAATTTTTTCTTCTGAAAAATATCAATAAATATTTAAAACTGCTGACTTTCTGTTGGTAAAGTCGCCACAATCCTGAGATCAACACATGGGCTACTCGGTGGTGACAGCTGTCTCTGTGGCGTCTCCAGCGTGTCCTCGGTATGTCGTCATGTCAGGACGTCATCCTTCAGATAGCAGGACGACGTGGCAGGAAGCAGCCACAGCAAACAGCTGAAAGACATCTCTTCCTCCTGCTCTCCAGTTATTTATTTTTTTATTAGCGAGTATCTTAATCTTTGAAATGTCAGATATTATGTGAAAATATGTCCCTGACAGTTCAGCAGAACCCAGGGATGGGTCTGCAGATTCATGTAGGTGAAAGTATGTCTTAGTATTTCAGTTAGTGGCGGCTTATGTTCCTTCCAAACCAAAAAACGAGCTTCCACCATGTGAGAGGTTTCTGAATTTCTCCTAAAACAGACTTTCTTAGACGCTGCAACCCTTCCAGACATCCGTCAGCCGCTTGTAGAGATTTCCACCAGTGTCGTTGTTGCAGCTAAAACTGTGCTGCCCCTAGTTTCTCCCACCCGTCGTGTAGCATCTCTTTTTCTTTGAGGAGCTATCGGCTGCTGTCTGCCCCTGATACTGACCATAACCACGATGGAGTCATTCCAGTTAGCTTCAGCTGTACGACCATTACTGTGGAACCCTGTGTGATTTTAATCCCTAATATGTAAAGCAGTCAGGTGACGTGACATCATAAACAACCCTACAGTGCAGGGTTTTAACTCCAGGGTTTAAATGTGTTGAATCCGTAGCACCAATCAAACTCTCTGGCACCGCGGCGGTGACTTGACTTGGTCACGATTTACAGATCATAGCGCTGTTTGCTGTGGGTGCACAAATCCACACGATCCACCACGTCTGGCAGTAAAGTCGCCTCCTTCCTGCAGCCGAGTTGGATGGAAGTTAGAACTTAGTTATCCTGTAAGATTACAGCAGCACACATCTGAAACACCGTCACATTATCAGCTGGAAAACATTCTAATACCACAAAAGGACGGATTTTCACTGCAGCGTTTATGTCCTGACAGTAAGAAAAGTTTATTTGATTCCACTGTTTGTTTTTTAAGCACATCATAAAGCAATCTGAAGTGCATTCTGGAGCCACACACTTGAACATAAATTGCGTATCTGTGCCTGGCGGTGGGCTGGGTTACCTCATAATTATGACAAACAGGTATGGCAGACGGGGGTTCAGGCAGCGGCGGCGGCAGCAGCAGCACTCAGGCAGGCGGGGAGCCGCTGGATAGGCAGCGTAATTTCTACCTCTCACCCGGGCGCCATAATTATCAATCTTGTCTGTTTACAGAATGAATATTAATGCCAGCTCCTCTTTGAAGACGGAGCACGGCAGCGTCTTTAACAGTGGAATACCGGAGCGTGTGATTGGCTGGGAGGTCGCACGCCGCTCTTACTGGATTCCACTTTGAAATCTCCAGTCTGTCCGTGGTCATCGGGGTCGGGGGGGGCATCACACGTCTTTATCCAAATGCTTTTACTCATTAATACAAAACACTGGATCGTCTGTTTATCAGGTAGAAACAGGAAGAAGAAGCTCATCCTGGAATTTAAGCTGCTGTTCAAATGGAGCGGCTCGGCGGGACTTTCTGTGGGCCGACTGCAGTTTGAAGTGTGGGATTAGAGATGTGTTTGTAGAAGCCCGCTCAGAGGGAGGTGTTTGTGTGGAAACCCGTACGCAGCAGCACCAGGAGGGTTTCAGAACCACAGACACTGTTTTCTAAATTGGACTCCCAGTAAACAAAAACATAGGATTCAGTTTGTTATAACCTAGAATCAGTATTCATACAGTTTGTTTTGACATTTCATCTCTGAAGATGAGTTTTCCTTTAACTACCTTTAAGAAGCTGCCTATTATGAATCAGAGGTGTAACGTTAACCTGCTCAATCAGCAGTCCGATTTACAGCCGTTTTTGAGCGTGATTTATCCCCTTATGTTCCTGAATATTAGGTTTTCACTTTTAAGCAGCCGTAAAGCTGAATTACTGACTCCGATAGGAAGAAATGCATATTTTTTTCTTTCCTGGAATTGTCTGAGATGAATCATTAGCTGAGATGTGATTCACTCTTCCAGGTTTTTTAATGACATTTTCAGCCATTAATTTTCAAATACACATGCCACTCCCCTCCCCCCACAGGGCTCTGGAGTGAAAATCTGACAGTTATTATATTTATTATTAATACTCGGGCTAGTAAATCAGTCACCTGTGTTTATTTACATTCAGCGCTGGCTTATTATTTTTTAAATTATTGTACTATGAGCAGTTTTCTGAATAATCATCAACAGCTGTCTGCTCTCTGACAGAGTACCAGCGGCGGGGGTCGGACCCGATTGGCCTGAAAACATCTACGTCACCTTCCAGTTCTACCGCTTCCCTCCGGTCACGTCCCAGGAGCTCAAGCTGCTGACCGGCAACAAGCACAAAGCTGGAGAACCGCTGCCCTGCGTCCTGGCCTCCGTCATGAAAGACGGCAGCGTGAGCACCGGTAAGGACACGCCTCTACAGTAAAACACTACTTCCATTACCTCACCTTTAAATGAGCTGTCACGCTGAGCTATGTGTGCAGCGTAGGGCGGTGTTATGGTGGAGAGCTTTAACCTACAAACTGTTTGTTGCCTTCATGTCCACGTAGGATGGACAGAAGATGCATTTCTCAGTAAACATGACGCAGGCTTTTGGAAACGCTGCCATGTGTCTGATCCAGATCCTGGATATTAGTCGGGCTCTGATTTCTTTCACGACTCTCCAGGTTAACGTTGTGCAACCACTTCCTACCTCGTTCCGTTGATGTTCCACGATGTTCTGCGATGCCGAGGCACTTCTCTTTCAATCAGCCGAGCGGACGCTGATTGATGTCAAGTCTATTCATGTTGCAGCTAATGAAATGGAAGAGATATTACAGCTTCTGACAGAGCGTGATATTGAACACACAGACAACCCCCCGCCCCCCGTCTTATTCCTACACCTACCCATATTCTCCATTCCCCAGACACACACTCCCATCTAACCCTGTCAATACTTCTCTGTCTGTCTCCACATCCCCCTCATTCTACATCATCCAGTGTGCATCTGCACAAACCCAGCCCACGTCTACACAAGTCTGTCCAGATATTCTATAGCTGGTAGCGTTCTCACAAGGACCGGCTGATTGGATGATAGTAACGTGTACTGGTGATTTATCAACACCAGTGAGAAAGTAGTCTACATGCATTAGATGCAAACTGCCATGAAAACCTATAAAGACATGTTTGGCTCCATGAACAAACTCCCATCATGCTCCCTCCCTGCATCACAAACAGCCCGCTGTACCTCGGTAATGGAGCGCCTTCGATGTTGTCTCCAAGGCTGCCGTACAAGTCTCTAAGATGCACTCATGTGGGGCTGCCTGGACTCCTCGTCTAGACCCACAGGCCTCCCCTGGTGGAGGCTGCAGACACCAGGGGCCGCCGGTTGCCCTTGTGGTTTGTTGACTGTGTCCCCCACCACCTCCACCGAGGTGACGCACTCTCGGCGACCTGCTCCGAGGGCTGAAGGACTTGTTGTTGGGGTGCACATGGAGGCTGGTGTCAGGTGATTCCTGGTCCGGTCCAGCCTCCCAGAACCTTAACCTGAGCACAGTACAGTGCCTTTAGGTTTTACTTGCTTTCTTTATTTAACTCTGTAAACACAAGGCCACAAGAAAATTCTGGTTAGTCTCATAGATTAATGGTAGCAGCTGGACCTGCTTGAGTTCCTTGCAGATGTTCCACCTCTGATCCATCAGGTCTGACTGACTGTTATAACTACACCTCTGACGTTTATAACAAACCAACCCGTTTGAAAATCGGTAGAAAATGGAGCAAGTTACGGTTGTTTAAAAAAGTCCATGCACCACTACAACACAATGTTATGGGTGAGCGAGCGCACCGTGCCAAGATGGCCGCCAGTGTGGACGTGCGATCCCATTGGCCGACAGTGTGGACGAGACATCCAGCCTTTATTATACAGATCTATGGTTACGACACAAAGGTCAGGTTCTGTTTATGTACAAATAAGGCTCAGAATAGAATATCTTTATTGTCACTGTGATATACAACGGCATTAGTCATCTCCCTTAACTCATAACTAATTAATAGCCACATATATATATTATAACCATTGTCTCATAGACTACTCATGACCATTTCTATAAGTTTTTTTTAATGGTTTTTGGTAAAATTTGAAGCCAAATTGAGTTTAATTAAAAGTTGAGTCAAATAAACAAGTAAAACGACCAACACAGTCTGAATAGACAGCGACACGGTACAAACTGGAGTTTTGAAAAAAGGAAAAACAATAAAGAACCTTTGCTGCAGAGAGATGATGGTCGGTAGAAGGAGATGCTTCTTACGGCCAGTTTAAATGTGGAACTCTGAACAGAACCTCCTCCAGAGCAGGTTAGCTGAACCGCATCGTTTGCCGAGGTGATCTAAAAAGAGACGATCTGGGGTGATGAGAGGAGTCGTAGCAGCTGAAAGGAGAGCTGGATGGTGGATGGTGGATGGTGGATGGTGCTGCTCCACGTCTGCAGTGAACAGGCAGCTTATAGCTACCACAATCAGCATTACAGCTTTGTAAAGGGATCCTACGCAGGCTTTATGTTTCCACCTCTTCTTGTTCTCTTTTTACAGTCGAGACTAAAGATTTTATGATTTATGGAACGTCCCTCGATAGCAGTTATCAATAGCTGGAGCTACGATATAGACCTCTGGAACCGTGTAGTGACTATAATAGTGCCACTCTGGAACAGTGTCTGTGAAGGCCTCGCGGTGCTGGAGGAGATTTAGGACCATGGTTTTGATTTTGCCATTAAACGCTGCACATTCTCAGTATAAGTTAATTGATTTTACTTTTTTATTTCCCACTTTTTCAAACCCTGAAACAATATAATGAGCAACCTCCTCCGTGCTTTAAATATCTGCACTTATAGAGCACCTTTCTACTGCTTGCCTGCCACTGGGGGCACCTTTGGGTTCAGTGTCTCGCCCAAGGACGCTTCAACATGTTGGGGGGGCGGGGCATCGAACCGCCAACCTTGCGGTCCGTGGACACGCTCTACACCAAGCTGTTCCTGCTGTGGCCAAAATATGAAACAAGCAGTTTTGTTGGTGTGTTTTATCAAATGTGTGATGCCCTCCACTTCTCATGCGGCTGTGGAAGCGACTGTCCAACCCGATGAGCTTCAACCACGCGCCGCACTGTAGCGTCTCTGACACTCAGCCTGATAAGTGCATGTTTGACTTCAACTATTGTGACAAGCGGCTTCTTCAAGTTGTCCGTATCCAGATGTCATCGCGTCGGCTGCATTTGACTGCGATCGCCAAAAGTCATCAGACACACATTTGTTTGTGGCCTTGCAGCAGGAAGCGGAGCTGCTCACTCCGCCTGAGCTGGAAGCTTCTCTCCCAGCGTATTAACAACATGTAGGGGGCGTGGCCTCATGGCGATGTGGGATATGACACGGAGGAGGTCAGGGGACGGGGAGACCGCCTGACCGTCGCTCAGCGTTGCACAAGCTGAGATGCAGAGCTGGTAGTCGGAGCCAATAGCCACGAGAAGCCTCTGTCAGACTCATCCTGTCCCTGCTGGAGAGACTCTGGCAGAGCTCTGACTGCACATTTACGGCCGTCGCTGTCCGAGGATCTCTGATGTGTTTGTGTCTGTAGGGGAGTGTCAGCGCTCAAACCCACGTAGGGTTCTGTTGGTGTTCGTTATACCTGCTGAACATGATGCTGGCGTCGTCACTGTGAGCCTGGTAGGACGCAGGCGTTAGCGTTCAGCTCGAAGCTACGGTTTAGTTCACATCAGAATCCTCAGAGGCTTGTAGGACTGCAACAGACGCTCATTGTCCATGAATCTGTTGTTTATTTTCTCGATTAATTAAAGTTGTTTGGTCAAAAAATAATGTCTTGATTTGTCCACAGCCCCGTATGTCAGTGTACTATCCCAGAAGAGTCACAAAACCAGGAAAATAGGGTGGAGGTTCTTCAGGAGGAGAACGGATCCTTTAACCATGTTTAGGTGCCTCCTGTAAAGGTTCGTTATTATTCCTCCTTTTAATAAGCTGATGAAAGTCTCACATCCCCAGAGTGTGTATTTCAGCAGAGAGCTGCACAGATCATTCACTCCACCATGCCGATAGTACTCCTGGTTCTGGCCTCGTTCCAAACGGGCTGCTTCAGTGCCATAAATCCAGCTGAGCTGTTCTGCCTACACCCCTTTAAGGAAGTGGACCACAGGTACAGCTCTGGCCCCAATACCCACACTGGACCGGCTCAGGGATGCAAACCTTCAGAGACGGACTTTCTGCTCTACAAGAAAGGAAATAAATGGGAGAATAGTCTTATCTTATGTTTTGTTGGGATCCAAACAAACTGAGACGTGTAATTATGTTCAAAAACAACAACAAGATAAAGGACCACATGTAGTCCGGCTCATTTAAATGTAACAGAATCAGGCCTTGTGTTTATAAAGCCTAATATCCTCCCCCTCCGTCTAAAAAAGCCAACGTACACACCACCTGGTTTTTAGAACAAGAATTCATCCAACTAACGGCATAAGCATGCCAGACCTTTAGGGGGCAGTAGTTCCCCACATCCTATCCAATCAGAGGAAGCTTCTGTCTCTCGACGTCCTAAAACAACCGTCCTTAATGCCGTCCTGTGTTCCTGTACGTGGAGCGGTATCTGGGCCTGGACCGGAGACATGGTTCTGAGGACGTCCACGCTGTTTCTGATGTAAACACAGGTCACATATGTAACGTAAAGAACAGATTTAGTTGCAGGAAGTGACGTTTGGAAACCCGGTTATTGACGTCCACATGCAGACGCATAAACGGAGGATTCACAGATCTTCACTTTGGTCAGAGGTTTTTAAAAGAATCGTTTTTAAAGCCGTAAGTCTGCGTTTTCGAGTGGACGACGGGCCACAACGTAAAACACCTTGGTTTTGTGAGACACCTGCTACGTGTGGACAACGAGGCCTTAGTTTCAGTACAAGGTAGTTTTCCAGCTACCGTCACCTGATCTGTGATTTTGTTTTTTTAGCCTGATGCAGTGGTTGTAAAGAAACCATCCCAGATCTGATCTAACTTCTCGTTTCTGCTGCTGTGTTTGATTTATTGCGGGTGATCGTCTCTATAAAACTTTAGAGCCAAATTCCAGAATCCGTTGTTATCAGCAGCTCGTCCAGGTATCTTATTAAAATGTCAACGTTTGGAAGTCGGGCCCCCAGTCATGCCTTCCCTATTTCTATATTTTCTTATTTTCCCACCAAAGTGTGATGACAGCCTGCTTGTCTCAGCCGTCACACACTCAGAGGGAAGGAGTTTGGTGTCCTGCTGGTTACCTCACGGCAGCCGGCTGACGCAGACATTCAGACCAACCTGCTCTGTCTCAGCAGCTGATGAAATGTTGTTGTTTGCAAGAGATTCAGATGGTGAAACTGTCGGTAATGACAATTAAAGGA